AGGGGTTGAAGGGAGGGGAGGGAAAGGGGAAAAAAAAAGAAGAATCAAGATATGTTTTTCATGTTCAGGTACAAATTCCCTATATGAATGTGATCATTGTATATATCTAAAATGTAGCAATAAAATTCATTTTTAGAAAAGTAAAATTAAACTATTCACCCATGAAAAGTATACAACTAAATTGTTTTTAGTATAGTTACAGAGTTGCACACACACAAAAGATGATGCTATCAGAATAGGTCTCTGGTCCTTCTTCTGCATTTTAACCACCTTTCCCCTTGCCTCTAGTTACTCTGCATGATTTTGCTCCTATTTTTCAGGTCTGATATTTTCCCCAGTATGCACAGTTTTGCTCTGACTGATCTCCCCATGTGAGTGACCTACCAGGACTTCAGACTGATCTTGCCACATCCTACTTGCCTGGCCCATCTTCTCTTAGCTATGGCTTTGCTGGGTTAAGTGTAGTTTCTCCCTGTTAGTTCTGCAGGTCAGTCTTGTCCTTGTCCTTATATGAGGACACCAGTTAACCAAGGACCAGGACTGGGAAATATGCTATTGAACCATAGCTGTATTATGTTTTAGGATGTGAAGAGATTGAGTTCAGCCAGCTCATCTTCAGAGAAGACTTCCTCAATGACAGCTACTTTGGGGGCCGCCTGCGTGGGCAGATTGCCACGGAGGAGCTGCACTTTGGCGAAGGCGTGCACCGCAAGGCCTTTCGCAGCACCGTGATGCAGGGCCTCACACCTGTCTTCCAGCCCGGCCACGCCTGCGTGCTCAAGGTGCACAACACTGTAGCCCACGGGACCAGAAACAATGATGAGCTCATTCAAAGGAACTACAAGCTTGCTGCCCAGGTGGGTCTGTGTGCTCAAAGGCACACCCCTGGGTGTGAGAGATACCCACAGTAACATGATGTGAAGATCAGATATGGGGTTGAGGGGGGCGTCTCCAAAAGGCTGATTTTCTTCTTTTGGGGTGTGGATTCAGGCTGAATGCTGGAAGTCACTTCTAAGTCCTCAAGATTCAGTTCTTAGCTTCATGCCAGCCAGTTGGGACTCAGCCAAAGCCTGGAGATACCTCACCGGTTGGGACCTGGAGTGTGATCATTTCTTTCCCTAGGAAGCCCCATGAGGCCCTTCAGGTTTTGAATCTGCTTGGACATAGAATGATATGGAAGGTAGGGGTTCTAAGTGATGTTAGATGCCAGGACCCTCAAGGGTCGCCAATGACAGATAAAATTAGTACCACCTTGTGTGTTTTGTTTGATATTTGTGGAGGGTATTGCAGTGAGTACACTCAGAAGGGTCACACTGACTTGTTTCCTGCTTTCCTGAGTTTGGTTTAACATTAGTCTTAAACCATGATGAGAAATTGACCCCAGTCTCTAGCTAAGTTCTCACCTCTCTCTGTTACTGAGTCCCAGAACTGGAGAATAGAGGGGAGGAGAGAGGGTGGGAGGGGACAAGAAGGGAGGAAAAGGGTTTGCTTCTCTGCCTGCCTCCCCTTCCCCTTGACCACATGTTGACTCTGGCCCTGGATTAGCTGCTAGGGAAGTTGGGTCTAACTCTTTTACAGACTATGTGCCTTTTTCTAATTTTTACCTACAAAATTAGTAGGTTGAACTTAGATGACTCTCAGGGGTACCATCAAGCACTAACTCCATGATTCTGTCAGACGTGGGATGTCAAGCGAGACCATATGCTGATGAGGGCAGCCCCTTTTCTCTGAGTGTAGGTTTGGACTCCATTATCTTCCTTTCTCTTCTAAATCTACCCTTCTCCTTTCTTTCACTGAGTTTTCCTCCCATTTCAAGTATGATCCAGTCATAAAAAAAAAAAAAAAA